GTATTGTAAAAAAATTTTTTTATGTGTTTCACACCGCGTGTAAAATCAATTGTGTAACATCAACGTTCCCTCCTGTTAATATACAGGTTTTATCTAATGTTAATATACAGATTTCATGTTGTTTCACATCAATAGTCAACTAAGCCTATATTTTAAAAAATCGATTAACTTAGTCTACTAAATCAGCTAAATCAACCAATGCTATATCGACTTGAAACACTATGTCCTAGTATAGTTATAGGTCGATCTTTATGATATTAGAAGCATTGGTTTACTTAGAGGGATATATAGTTATTATCCGTCATCTTACTATGATCAGATTGCCAAATAACTATATATTACTGTATCGGTATTAACATTACATAACTGCTAAATATCACATGATGCTAAATTACAGGGGTTAACAGTCCTCCTGATTTCAATTATCACATACCATAACTTAATTTATTCTGTCATATCACTTAATTTTAATAATCACGGAAAATTTTGATTACATCTCCTTTTATCAACAATAGGAATACTTTGTTTCCAATTAAATACATTCGAAGGATCATATTTCTTTTTAATGTCCACCAACCTTTCAAAATTTTCTCCATAATATCTACATTGCCAATCATCCAATCTTCTATCAATATAATTCTGAAAACTTTCATTGCTAGTATACTTTTTTTGAAATTTTATGCCAAATTTATCTAACCGCGTTAAACACTTTCTTGCTTTTTTATCCTCCACATATGTGCCATCAGATTGTAACGGTAAATCAATTTGAATCATTATATCATACATGAAATTTCTGTGAACATATGCGGTTTCAGTTCGGCTAAGATTGTTGAAATTTCCGCCACCATATAACGTTGTCACTATTACACCTGAACAGTCATCTTTCATTTTGTTCATAAAATTGAATAAACTCTTAACCCCTTTTTCAGATAGCCCAGGAGCGTTAACATAAAATGATTTCACCTTAACAGGTTTTCGCTCTTCTTTATCTTTCTTATCAATGAAATTATCAAGATCAGTTTCTTTAGAAAAGTTTTGTAAAGTGATCGCGTGAAACCAATCTTCTACGGTAAAGTTAAAATCACCCATTTTATTTTTAGGTCCATCCGCATTAGATTTTTTAATAAATTCTTGTAAACATTTTTCTAATTCACTTGCATTACCTACATAAAGAGTTTGAACCGAGGTTGATGGTTTAGTTGAACTAAATTTATGAATAATTTCCACTGCTAAGTTCGGATCAAAATTTTGCCCATATTGATTCATTGTATTATATAACAATTTTGTCGCGCTAAGAGTAAAATTATATTTTAACCTTATAGAAGACAAAGGATTTTCTATAGGATGGATCTTTAGGGTTAGGTTAGTTACGATTCCATAGCCAGCACTTCCCGCGCCTCGAAGAGCCCAAATAAGGTCATCATATTTTTTGGCACTATCAACTATTGTCCCATTTGCTAAAACAATTTGGGCATCTTCGATATTATCAGATGACATTCCAAATTTTCGTGTAAGGCGTCCTTCGCCCTATTGCAAAAAAGATGTAAATTATTTTATTTTGCATATTTGGTATGCTTGTACAATATATTCGTTTACATTTTAAATCGATACTTACACCTCCTAATATAACACCAACACCAACACTAGGACAATTTCCGGCTGGAAATGCAACATCTTCATTATTTAATTTCCAATATAGTTTCCCTAACCTATTTCCTGGTCCGACTACTACAATTCCGTTGTCTTTATTGATGTCAATGTTAATGAAGTTCTTAAGATCAACAACCAGAGCGCAATTTTTATCGCCAATGCTATAACTTTCATGAGAATGACCACCTGCTTTTGCAACAACGGGAAAATTATTGTCTGCACCACATTTAATGGCTTTACTAACATCTAATTTATTGATTGGATGAACAAAAGCTACTGGATAATGAATTACTCGTTTGTTCTTTTCACTAACAAGATCATTGCAGTAGGGATTCTTAAGATCACTTTTGTAGGTTTTGTTGTTTTTAATATTACCACAGTCATTAAAAAAAAAAACAGGCCCCTCAAGGTTGGTTAGACAACGTCGAAGAGACCTTTCATTAGGACAATTAAAAGCTCGGATTGGGTAAATTTGGTAAGAGATAGTTGCAATAAAAAAAAATACAATATACATATACGAAATCATCGTTTAATTGATCTTTATAAACTATTTAAGTTCGTGAACGTTCAATGTTTAATTGTATTCTATACGCGTTTTATTTAATCCGTGAGTATAAAATGCGTTAATTAATCTCAGTATTTAAATAATTTTTCAAATTTGTGAATATTTACTTAATATTATTAACTAATGTTTTTTTTTTATTAGAATTTTATGAACGCAATTAAAAGAATATTGTGGATGGATTGTTGTTAGAAAGCCTTTGTGTTTAGATGTAATAGTATTTACAATATGTAGTACTGTATTCGATTTATTTTAGAATGTAAGCTGTGTAAAACAAAATTAATGGCATTGTTAACGCTAACACTGATATTTTGAGGTCTTTATTTGTGGCTCTGGGTCAAATCTTGACAAACAGAATCCCGACAAAAACTGACCAACTTGCCGGGATTATGACCTAGTCTGGATTTTGTTTGTTGGATTTTGACCCAGGTTCTCTATTTGTTTATATGGCTTAGTATGTAAATTAGAACTTACACGCAGCTATGCACTTACATGACTTCTTTTTGTTTGGCGTAATTTACTTTGTTAACCAGAACATTTTTGTGTGGCGTAATTTACTTTGTTAACCAGAACATTTTCATGTGGACGACTTCGCCGTCTGGCTTTATCAAATTATTACGAACAATCCGTAAAAGATAAGGCTAAGTATTAATAAGATATTTACAGATTTAGAAAACAGTGTCGGTTGTGACATCCAACAAAATTAAGATTTTATGAATGTTATAATTTTAGCAGTATGATTTTTTCTGGTTTTTTTTTGTATTATAGTGATAAACTTTGAAGGCTATTGTACGTTATGTAATACTGTAGTAGATCAGTTATATATTGTAGATGTTATTATCAGGCTTAGTTTGGTAAATAGTAAATAATAAAGTCGAGGGTTTAAAGCAGCATATATTTTTGTAATATATAAAAGGTTTTCTTTAAGGGTAGGGTGTATATATAGAGATTGTAAAGTTTTTAGATTCAGAACTTTGAATCCTGGTTTGGAACCTAGTTTTTAAAAATCAGGTTCCAATTTTGAAGCCTAGTTTTTAAAACCCAAGTTCCAATTTTAAAACCTAGGTTCTTAGATTCATAATTGGTTTTAATATAAATTTTTTTTAATAATAATAAAGTAAAAAAAAATGTATATATAAATAGTATATAGCAACTCTCTCTTGTAGATCTCTTAGCCAAATTTTACAGAAAGCAAAAACACAAAATAACATGAAAAAGCACAAGTAAATAATAATTAGAGTACTAAGAAAAAAATAGTGGCTCATAAAATACAGTTAACCAATTTGAAAAACAAGAAATAAACCAGTGCAGCAGCAGATAATAGCAAGAAAACAAAAATTTTCAATGAAATTGCAAAAGTTTTTTGGAAAAATAGAAATTCACCTTGATCCTACTTTTGTAGATCTATTAATTACACAAAATTAGAAAGTATATAAAAAAATCATACATTCTGTCTAAAAAAGTTAAATTTAATATCAAATTTTATTTTAGTATAATTAATTTATTATATAAAATACTAACACAAAATTTTAAATAAAGATACAGTATATACTTTTAACTTTACTGTTATCTTTTGTATAAACTTTACTATTATCTTATATATAAATTTTGTTATTAGCTATAATTTTAGTATATTTGTTTAGTTACAAATATGAGACTTAAGTATATATCTAAAAGGTTAAACAAGTACTATAAAAAATTGTATTAATACTACTATCTTATTCAAATATAGAGTACACTAATGTGAAAGCAAAAGAGATAAATTAATTGAATCAAATAATTTATTATATATAAAACAAATGTCATCATAGTGATTAATTTTATTTACAATAACATGCATATTTAAAACTTCACAAGTATGTAGATGAGAACCTTTCTAGTATATCTTTGAAAAAATATTATAAAACTGAGTTTAAATTTTTCTGAATAACAAAATTCTATATTCAAAATTAGAAGTCTATAATCAGTGATGATGATACTTAATTGTTATATTTAAAAATTTAATGATTTTTTAAAATTGTTTTTTTTTTTTAAATAAACTATAACTTATAATGTTTTAATTTCTAAGCTATATAGTCTTATCACTATCTATAATTTTTTTCTTTAACAAATAATAGTGAAATTATATTAAAAATTTATTTAAACTAGACATCAAATATCAATTTTAGTTAATTTAGTTATATATACATACTAATTAAAATCTTATTAGAAACTATTCTGGCTATGCTATAACAGCTTCTGCTATATTAATATCAATTCTTTTAATTAAATCATTAATATAAGTGACTCAAAATATAAAAAAGCTGCTTGGTTCAGTCAAAATCTTATATCAGTTTTTTATTATAAATTTCTAATTAAAATTTACAAATCTTATATCAAAGTTTTTTTCTATTGAAAGTCACTTGTATTTGTAAATATACTTTACTTAATAACCATAGTTAATTATTCTATAATTATTTGTAATCACATTATTTGTATTTATTTTTTTTTTTTAATGTTAAGGCGAGTAATTGTGACCCAGGAGTTTATTGATAATCAGTCGGCATATAACTATTGTGTACAACAGCTACAGAGGCAATCATGGAAAGAG